ATTCCGTAGACATGTTGAGCAACCCGCTTGATGGGGATAAATTGTCACGAACTACGTCGTGACACCTCGATTATTCCACCAACAATGACCCTCCTTTGACCATCAAAACCCCCATCACGTCTTAACCTTTTTACTCTACACGTAACTCAGGACTTCTGAGACCAAGTACGGCGAAGTTAGACGGAGTTAGGCTAGGTAGGGACAATGGGAGCAGAAGTACGGCGAAGATAGACGGAGTTAGGCTAGGTAGGGACAATGGGAGCAGACAACCGGAGAATAAGGTATACGGGGGCCTGGAGCACAAGGACAACGAAGTATGGCAAAGTTAGACGGAGTTAGGCTAAGTAGGGACAATGGGAGCAGAAGTGCGGCGATGTTAGGCGGAGTTAGTCGAAGGAGGAAGAGGATGGCCGAGGGCTCGGGGAAGTTGGACGAAGTGCGTTGAAGTACGTCAAAGCGCGAGAGGGTTGGATGAACGTCTAGGAGGAGTAGATAATATTAGCTGAGAAGATCGCTGAAGTTCTTCAGCGATCCTTGATTGTTGTCAGTAGTAAAAGACAGATAGAGATAGCTATAAATCAAGATACATCGCCATCAGTAGATCAAAACCCTAGTTAGAGTAACTACGCCGAAGTACGCCGTAGTTACACCCCTTTCGACGTCTGCGCCCTCCTGGTTGGGTGAGACATCGACTCAGAGCGTGAAGTTAGCCGAGGTTCGTCGACCGTCGGTCTATTAAGAAGTAGTTGTTCGACGGCCGTGACAGTATCAAGGATCGCTCCTACCGACGACCCGTGCGAACCTCGGAGAAGTACGAAGATAATATGGAACCAGAAAGAAGAATTACACGAGGCATGAGTAGGGATGGAGACAGGATGGAGGAGAACGAGAGGAGAGCATTGGAGGAGCTTAGCAGAGCAATGGGGCAGGACCTTGGAGTTGAGGATAGTGTGGGGGGGTCAATTCAAGGAGATGAGTTCGTTCCACCGGTGCTTTCTAACCCTCCTTCTCCTCCGTCTAATGCTCTCCCACCTGTGGGATCCCCACTTGGATCAGACCAAACCCCACGCCCAAGAGAAAACACTGGAAGTACGGCGAACTTGGGAGAAGAAGGAACACAAGGGGTGGTGTTGGCCTTGATGCAGATGGTGGCGAATATGAACAAAGACATGATGGAGGAGAGAAGACGTAGGGAGGAATGGGAACAGAGAAGAGAAAGGGATACAGTGGGCGGGATTGCAGAAGGGATATCAGAAGGGGTGAGGTACGCCATGGGACGGCAAACTTCGGCGACCCCAAGCGTAGTGGGCGAACAACGGAAAGGGATAAAGCTACCTAACCCAGACCTATGGAGAGGAGATCGGAACAAGTTAACCGCCTTTCTGTCTGAGTGCGACGTACACTTCGAATTGAACTCTCATCTTTTCCCCGACGACACTAAGAAAGTCTTTTTCATGATCTCTCATCTACGCGAAACACCTCTTCTTGCAGTGCAGCCCGATCTATCCAAAAGACCTCTTCCTGAGTACCTCACGACACACGATCAGTTCGTTAAGTACCTCAAGACTAACTTTGGTGATCCAGACGAAGAAGGAACTGCGGCCCGACAACTTAACGACCTCAAGCAAACCGGGTCTGCTTCGGACTACTTCTCCGCCTTTCAGCGACATGTTGCGATTCTCAAGTGGTCTGATGATGGAAACCTAGTTGACCGAGCCAAGAAAGGACTAAAATCACACCTTCTAGATGAAATCGCAAGACACGGTAGATCGTTTGGGACTGTAAAAGAGCTATTGGAGTTTGTGATTCCCTTGGACAACCGCCTGTGGAGGAGACAAGTGGAGAAGGAGGCAGAGAGGAAAAGGGAAGGAGGGATAAGGACAACGACAGTGGTGGAAAGTCAGAGGACGGAGAAGAAAGAAGAGAAGAAATGGGAAAAGGGGCAACCTTCGGCGCAGGGTGGTGCCCAGGCGGCTATGAGGTCGACGGTGGTAAAGAGTACACCGCCAAACATCGACGAAGTTCGCCGAAGATGGCCTAGGCCGAGCTCCGATCTGAGGGAGACAAGGAGGAAGGAGGGGAAGTGTACCGAGTGTGGTGAAGCAGGACATTGGCTGAAGGAATGCCCTGTAAGGGAGGCTAAGGTTAAGGTTGGACTGTTGCCTCCATGGGGGGAGAAGTTCGGAGAACGTGGTGGAGGATCGGGAGGGAACGCAGTACCTCTCGGACAGAGGAGGAACTTGAATGCGGTTGGAGGAGAAGTAGATTTGGAAGAGGACCAGGGAAAAGAAGAGGACCTGTCGCAGTAGGCGAGGCTCGGCGGGTCCGCCATATTCTCTCGGCCACCATTCCCAAACCCATAAAAGAAACACAGCTGATGGAGCCAGAGGATTGTGAATACAAAAATACACCACTCAGTACCCCTTGTTCATGCAATGTCGATAATCATCTCCTCATCCCTTCCGTTTCCAGAGATCAACCTAAATCGGACATTTTCATTAATGGAATGAAGCTAACTACGCTCTGGGACACCGGGGCTACTTGTTCATATATAAGTCCTAGAGCGGCGACGAAGATAGGCGCAGAAAGGAGACAATATCAGGTGAGCGTACCCGTTCACATGTTCGACGGCTCGGTGAGTGTCGCTGGACCCATCACCGAGTTTGTCGAAGTCGGATTTAGTTTGACGAAGGACGCCGAAGTGCGATCTGTTTGTCTCGATGTAACAACGCTCTGCGACGCAGATGTTGTGATAGGGTGGGATTGGATGAGGAAGGAAGGGGTTGTCCTTGATGGAAGAGACAACTCGGTGAAATTTCCCATCCCAGCCTCACCAAGTGCGGCGAAGTTAGCGGCCATAGGGCTGCCGACTCCGACGGACGCGATAGATCTCCGAGACAAAGATGACCAGGATGAACTGAGTCCGGAGGAACAGGAGGAATTGTATCAGGTGGTTCCTGAACAATACCACTCGTTCATTGATGTTTTTAACCCAAGGAAGGGAGGTGAAGAATTACCTCCCTCGAGGGGCTATGATCTGGAGTTTGATCTTAAGGAGGGGGCGAACCTGAAGGTTGCTCCACTCTACTCGCTTGGAGAAGATCAGAGAAGTGCGCTGAGAGACATCCTAGATCGCGAAATATCGGCCGGAAGAATTCGACCCAGTAATTCGCCCTATGGATCACCGATGTTCTTGGTACCGAAGAAAGCAAAAGGTCAATGGCGAATGGTCATTGACTACCGAAAGTTAAACGAAGCAACGATACCCGACGCCTATCCACTGCCTCTGATCGGTCAGATAACCGAAGAGCTAGGAAAAGCGAGGTACTTCAGCAAGTTAGATCTGATTGGAGCTTATCAACTCCTACGGGTAAAGGAAGGACACGAACACCTGACGGCGTTCAGAACTCAGTACGGTATGTTCGAGTCTCTTGTTGTTCGAGATGGTCTGCGAAATGCTCCTGCTGTATTCCAGCATTTCCTAAATGAAAGCTTCAGAGAACTGTTGGGGAAAGGAGTAGTTGTCTATATAGATGATATACTCATCTATGGTCAGACGTTGGAAGAATTGAGAGGAACTACGGCGAAGGTATTCGAAGTTCTTCGAAGGTCGAATCTGTTCGTCAAGGCTAGTAAGTGCGAGTTTGAAAAGGACTCGGTA